ACTAGAAACTTAATGAGTCGTGAGTGTTATTAATACATCAAAAAACAGCAGTTTAAAAAAATTAACAAAATTAGAAAACCATTAGCTGGTATAATTTAAAAGAGGAAAACCACAAATACACAATGTAAGAAATGATAAGAGGAAAATAATTGAAGAGAAGAATTTTTTAAATTCAGATAATATTTTATAGTTTAGGCAAATAAATTTGAAAACCTAGATGAAATGAATACATTTTTAGGAAAACAAAATGTACCCAAATAGAGATAGAAAACGTATACAGACAACTTAAATGAAAGACAGAAAATTCTAAATTTACAGGTTCAGACTCATCAGGGGACTCTATGAAACCTTTAAAGACCAATTAATTGCAACTTTGCATAAATTTGCATAAATTTACTGCACATTGAAAAAGAATGTAAGCTTCTAAGTTACTTTTATGAAGTTAATATAATATTACTATCACAACTGACAGAGTCCTATATCACTAATAAATATTAATGCAAATTTAAAAAATAAAAATTAAAGAAATTGAACAAAAAGTGCATTAAATGTGACATTTCATGTCCCAGTAGGATTTATTCCAGAAGGGCGAGGATGGTTTAATATAAGAAACCTATCATATTAACAGAGCTAAGAGGAAAATCACAGGGCCATATCCATAGATGCCTACAAGGTATTTGACAAAATTCAACTCCCATGTGACTCTGGCTGTAAACCACAAACCACACTATACAGATGATGCCCATCCTTCCACACTTCATCCTGCTTTTAGATAGTCTTCCAAAACGTGACAATGATGGAATTTCAGGGTGGTGCTCTGGAGCCCCCTCCCCCGGGGGAGGCTGAGTATGGAGGATGAGGTAGAGGAGCTCAGGTCAGACAAGGAAGCAGGGTCAACCCCAAACATGCTAGTAGCTGAGGGGAAAACGAAGACCTGGAGTCCAAGACCAAGGTGCCGGCAGGTTTGGCGTCTTCCGAGGCCTCTGTGGTTTGCTTGCCCACAGCCGCCTTCTCTCTGGGTCCTTAAGGTGGTTCTGCTGTCTGCACACACCCCTGGCGTCTCTCCCTCTTCCTGTAAGGACAAAGCGCTGACTCACTGGAAAAGACCCTGGTGCTGGGAAAGACTGAGGGCAGGAAGAGAAGGGGGCAGCAGAGGATGAGATGGTTGGATGGCATCACCGACTCAATGGACCTGAGTTTGAGTAAGCTCCAGGAGACAGTGAAGGACAGGGAAGCCGGGCGTGCTGCCGTCCAGGGGGTCTCAGAGAGCTGGACACGGCTGAATAACAAAGACACCAGCCTTATTGGATTAGGGCCCCACCCTTACGACTTAGAGCTTCCCTGGCAGCTCAGATGGTAAATATCTGCCCACAGTGCAGGAGACCACGGTTTGATCCCCTGGAGAAGGGAATGGCTACCCACTCCAGTACTCTTGCTTGGAAAACCCCAGGACAGAGGAGCCTGGGGGCTATAGTCCATGGAATCTCAGAGCTGGATACAACAAAGCGACTCACACTTTTTCACTTTTGACTGGTGTAAACCGTAAGCCCTGGAGACTAGGTTTTCTCTTTTTTGTAATGTAAGTGCACACATTGCCAGCCACAGGACTAGATAAAAAGCCAAAGTCATCTTCCCCCACTGAGGCTCTTTTTAGAGATCTTTCTGACTCTTTGTGACCCTACGAACTGTAGCCTGCCAGGCTCCTCTTTCCGTGGAATCTCCAGGCAAGAATACTGGAGTGGGTAGCTTTTCCCTTCTCCAGGGGATCTTCCCGACCCAGGTCTCCTGCATTGCAGGCAGATTCTTTACCATATAAGCCACAAGGGAAGTCCTTAGAGATCTTAGTTGATTTCAACAGCTGACCATTTGGGCTGCTTGTTTTTTCTCTTCTCTTCAAGTTCCCACTCTTTATGTTTTGAACTCTCAGCAATAGTGAACCCATGAAACCCTAGGCACCCACCCTTGACCCCAGTAAAAGCAGAACCCTGGACCTGTGTTCACACTCTTTCTACCCACAGCCTCGCTATCTGCCCCCAGGGGAAACCATGTAATTTCTGGGTCCTGCAAATAATAGTTGTTTTTTTCTCAGTTTCCTGATGGTTATTGCTGCAGTGTGTCTTGCAATCATAACCACAACGGCTGGTCCAGCCACAACAATGGTTATTAGCAGCTGAGACCAGCACACAACAATGACCTCATTTAACCTTGTCTCCAAATGCAGTCACATTCTAAGATGCTCAAGGTTCAGGCTTCACCACATGAATTTTGGGAGGACATAGCTCAGTCCTTAGAAGCTAGAGGCTCTGTCATTTAAGAGCTGCCAGGCCTGGATAATTTTATTAACTTATAAGCTTCAGTCTCCTTCATAAAAGGAAATAAAAACATTGTCTATTTCATCCATTAGGATGATGCATGAGACGTGAGTTTGATCCCTGAGGGGGAGAGGACCCCTGGAGAAGGAAATGGACACCCACTCCAATATTCTTGCCTAGGAAATGCCATGGGCACAGTAGCCTGGCGGGCTTCAGTCCATGGATTCTCGAAGATTCGGAATGGCTGAGCACACACATATGCACCAAAGACATAATCACAGTAATTTCATTAAAATAGTGGTGCCATTTTTCTCATATGACAGGAGGTTGGAGGCGGACAGTTTGGGATTGGTGCAGCTGAGGACCCATGCTCCTTCTGCCTTCTTACTCCATCATCCGGGGCTTGAAGCTTTCTGCTTTTATGCCTGGAAGTTGGCTCTCACGTCTCTAAGTGCCCGACTTATCTATCAGGCAAGAGGACAGAGGAGGGGCAAAAGGCAGGAGGCTGCAATGTGGGTGCCGCTTGTATCTGCTCCCTCCTGAAAAAGTTCTCAGGACCTCTTTCCTTCATATCACATTGTCTAGAACTGGTTGTTGCATCCTTGTTACTACCTATTAAGCAGTACAGAGCAGTCAGTATTTCAGCCAGGTGCGTTACTACCTTGAACACAATTGGAGTTCCACAGGTAAGGAAGAAAGGGAAAATGGATATAAAATACTTAACCAATCTTATCTGCCGTATCTAACCTCAAGGTTTTTGAAGGATTACTTGATATGTTTGACAGAAGACAAATAAATAGTGGTGATGGTATAAAAACTTAGCCGTTAATTCAAGACACAAGGTCCTAAAACATCAAATGTGTAAAATGAAGGATTGCATTATTGCATGACCTGTGAAAGGAAGAGGACAGTACTGGGCAGCCAAAAGTGAAAGAAAGTAAAGTTGCCCAGTCGTGTCCGACTCTTTGCAGCCCCGTGGACTATAGCCCGCCAGGCTCCTCCATCCATGGACTTTCCCAGGCAAGAGTACTGGAATGGGTTGCCATTTCCTTCTCCAGGGGATCTTCCTGACCCAGGGATCGAACCCGAGTCTCCCGCATTGAGGCAGACGCTTTACCATCTGAGCCACCAGGGAACCAGTCCGTGGAATTCTCCAGGCCAGAATACTGGAGTGGGAAGCCTTTCCTTTCTCCAGGGGATCTTCCCAACCCAGGGATCAAACCCGGGTCTCCCGCATTGCAGGTGGATTCTTTACCAGCCAAACCACAAGGGAACTAGTCCATGGAATTCTCCAGGCCAGAATACTGGAGCAGGTAGCCTTTCCTGTCTCCAGGGGATCTTCCCAACCCAGGGGTTGAACCCAAGACTCCCATATTGCAGGCGGATTCTTTACCACCTGAACCCCCAGGGAAGCCCCTGGGCAGCCAAATGGCCGAGCAATTCAGGGTCCAAGGGCTCGATCCATGCCCATCCTGGTCAAAACTGAGATCTGAGTCATCCGTGTGTTTCTGATGCTTTGACTTCAGGCTTTTGCTGGCCCTGGAGGGACTTCCCAGGTTAGCTGATTCCTAAAGACAGCAAATAGTTCTGCTGGGAGCAGAGCTGTTGGTCACAAAACAACGAATCCCGAGTCCACCCCAATCACTCCCTTCGCTAAGCTCTCAAAGGGGTCTCACACACTCAGGGCCACTTATCCCCCTGCCCTAGTCTGGGTACCAGACAGCCCTGGCCTCCGGAGTTGGCTGGAATTATTTGCAATAGCCAGTCCCAAGCCTGTTCACCCTGCTTCGCCCGTTCCTTCTAGTTAGACCATAGTAAAGGCTGTTTCTCACCCCTCCCCGCACTCCTCCATCTCCTAATAGACCCTGGTGCTTCCCTGTGTGGCTCTGCGAGGGGCCGTGTGCACCCCTCTCCTCTTGGGAACTGTGAGTAACAAGCTGCGTCTTTTCAGGGGCCATTGTCTCCTCATCTGCTGGCTTTGCTGACCCCAAATAATAATAAAACCTATGTTTTAACACAAGAGGATTACATTTAGGCAAGAACAGGCAGTTTAGAGAACAGCTCACGCCTGGGAAGGACTCATGCATTGGAAGGACTGATGCTAAAGCTGAAACTCCAATACTTGGGCCACCTGATGCGAAGAGACAGCACATTGGAAAAGACCCTGATGCTGGGAAAGATTGAAGGCTGGAGGAGAAGGGGACAACACAGGATGAGATGGTTGGATGGCATCACTGACTCAATGGACATGAGTTTGAGCAAGCTGTGGAAGATAGTGAAGGACAGGGAAGCCTGGCGTGCTGCAGTCCATGGGGTCGCAAACAGACAACTTAGCGACCTAACAACAATGTGCCTAGGGGCGTGGCTGAGATCCTGGCATGCAGCTTGGCTTCAGGTGGGCTCCCTGCGCCTGCCAGGGTCTGAAGGTGCCACTTCTTTTTCCATCGAGACAGGATGCATGGGGGGGCCACATGGGTGCCCGCCCCTTCCTCCAGGGGTGGCCCTTCTTGGCAGCTTTGCTCCCACATTGCTATCTGACCCCTGCCTCATTGCCCAGCCCTACCCACCCCACTGCACCCCAGTCACGAGGCTGAGTCAGGTACAGTGGCCAGACCTTCGGCTTCCCGGAGCGCAGGCTCTAACTGAACCCATATTTGGGGAACAGAGTGGGGAGAAAAGCTGCTAAGTTTAGAAACTCAAAGAAAAGTTCCGCAGCCTGTGAACCCAGATGCATTCAGTAAGAGGAAGTTTATATAAAGCTGTGGGAAACGTTGCACTTCCTTGGATACCAACAGCCCAGTTACGCATTACGCATGAGCCCGAGACTTTGCTGTCTTGAGAGTGAGTTTCAATAGCTGGAGACCAAGCCGCCTCCCAGCAAGAACGTGGGTGGCCGAGCGAGGTCAGGGGGACCAGCTGTTCTCCGAGGCTCCAGTCCGGGCATGGGGGAACCAGGCGGTCCCCGGATGGATGGAGCCAGGCCAGGTGTGGGGAGGTCATCACACCACCAGCCCAGGGTAATAAATGGAACCGCGGGTCACACATGGGACAGGACCTCCCAAAGTCACAGCCCCACCTTCTCTCTGGAGCTAATTATTCATCACCTCCGAGTGCCCGGCCAGCCGCCCCGAGGGTCGTGATGTTTTCCGGTCTGGCTGGGGGAACGGGCACCTCTAGTCCGCGTAGAACTCTGGATGTGGTTCCTTCTAGGCCTTTCCTGTGGTTTCCTGATCGCGGCTTCAGGTGGTCCCCTCACAAGCACGTGTGATGAGCTCTCAACCACATTCCCGAGGGGGTCTCTGCTCACCTCCGGGTTCTCCCTCCCCGTGCCCGCCTCTCATCCCCGACACCCTGGCCTGCGATTGTGGTCCCCTTAGCCTCCCTAGACCCTCATCTCTGTGTCTTCACCTCAGGTGGCCCACTGGGGCCCCCACCCCCAGGCTGCCCCTTTCCTATGCTGCCCCCGAGGCAGGGGAGTTAGGGAAGCACCGCCCCTCCTCGCCTGACGTCCAATGTCCTAAAGATGTCGTTTCACATACCTTTAAAAGAATTTGGTTGTTTCAGGTGGCAGGGTGGAGGGACACACGTCAGTGGGGCTGGAGTACGGGGTACTCCTCACACTTGGGAAATAACCATTTATGGTTTTCTGGGTGACCAGGAAACATGATGCCAGCCCCTAGTCACCATCCTCTTTATTGGGGCTGCCATTCACAGTGGTTCAGGTTGTGCACTGCACAAATGTTCCTGGCTGTGTGGGAGCTGAGATTCAGCACGGAGCTGCATCTCCTCAGAGAAAGCAATTTTTCTTATTTTCCACAAACATTGTCCTATGACTGAGCCATCTATCAGGGACTCCATCCATCTAGAGGAAGGACACTTTTTCTCATTGTCACAGTGGCAACATCTGGGCCAGTGCGGGCCCTTACCTTGTCCCACCTGAGACTCCTGCATGGGTGGCTTACTGAGTCTGGGGAAGCTGGATGATGCATGGGCACTTCTTTTTTGGTTTTTATTTATTTGCTCATTTTTAGCTGTGCTGGGCCTTCACGGCTGCAGGGCTTGTCTCCAGCTGCAGGGAGCCAAGGCTACTCTAGTTGTGCTGCCCATGCTTCTCACTGCAGCAGCTTCTCTTGTTGCTGAACGCAGGCTCTAGGGCACTTGAGCTTTAGTAGTTGAGGCACATGCGCTCAGGAGTTGTGGTTCCCGGGCTCTAGAGTACCAGCTAATAGTTGTGGCACACGGGTTTAATCGCTCCATGGCATGTGGCATCTTCCCGGACCAAGGATCAAACCCATGTCTCCTGCACGGGCAGGCAGATTCTTTACCACTGAGCCTCCAGGGAAGCAAGCCCTATGCATGACTACGTCTACTAACTGGTCTGAATTCATGAGAGATGGGCCAGGTCCTGAACTTGACTCTCTGACATTGTCAAGGATCCTGCACTGATCAGCTGGATGTCAGAATAAATAGACTGACAGGGACCCCTTAGTGCTGGCCCTCATCCCTGGCATGATGAAATAGAGTGGACTCCCACTTGAATTGGCTGGGAGACAAATTTAATGTCTTATTTTTGCCATTTAAATAGCACACCCCTGTGTGTCCCACCTCCAGGCTGCTCTAGGGGAAGCATGAATCACCCTTAGACCAACCACCTCTGAGCACTTTGCTTGCATATGATTTTCTAGCATAGCTTGTCCACAGAGTGCAGCACCAGGCACATGTATGTGTCCAGTTCGTCCTGAACCCATGACCTTCATCTTCTTCCTTATAATGTGTGTTAGTCATTCAGTTCTGTTCAACTCTTGTTGACCCCATGGACTGTAGCCCACCAGGTTCCTCTGTCTGTGGGATTCGGAGGCAAGAATACTAGAGTGGGTTGCTATTTCCTTGTCCAGGGAATCTTTCCAACCCAGGGACTGACCCTGGGTCTCCTGCACTGCAGGCAAATTCTTTACCACTTGAGCCACCAGGGAAGGAGTCTTTCTTATAATACAGGACAGTAACTATAACAAAGCTGCTATTTGCCTCCAAATAGCAATTATTTCCTTTTCTTCTAGCAAAAGAGCACTTTTTTTTTTAATCTGGATACACTGCTGCCAAGTAAAACACTACATCCCCTAGTATTTTCTATATCCAGGGGTAGCCAGATAATAAAGCTTGGGACAAAGAAATTAAAGTGAAGGGGTGGAGCTATCACTGTCTCTTTAAAATGACTTCTTCCTCATCTTCTCTTTTCTGTCACCCAGAATGCAGAGGTAATGGCTGGAGTTCCAGCAGTGATATTGGACTATGAGATGACCTTGGAAAAGAAAGCCATGTGCGTTAAAGCAATGAGATAGAAGGAGCCTGGGTCTGTAACATCACGGGCCACCGTACCATGCAGGAATGGATATTTGTGTTCTTCTGTATAGATTAAGTCACTATTTTCAGGACTAAGTTACTTGTAGATGAACCCAATCTAACTGGTATAGCAACACAACCCGTCTCATCTTCCTCTCGCAGCCTGATGTCCTCATTCCTGCAGTGCTTAGCAATGTAAACAAGAGAAGTCAGAGTAGGAACTGATGAGGTAGCCTCCAGCTCTGGAAAATTGAGATCCACTGAGCCAATGCATTGTGCTGGAGTGTGGAAAGACGGAAGGGCACGTGCCTGACAAAGGAAAACAAAGGAACACGTCAGAGTCTTCCCTGAGTTCCACGCTCAAAAGAAGACCTGAGCCAGATGCCCCAGCACTGCATCGTCAGATAGACAAATGTGAGAATTGCTTATTGCTCCTGAGTCAACATCTACTCTGGCAACTTCCCTTTTTCCTCCACTGAGCATTTTCTGCCAGAAATTTTGTTGTTGTTGTTGGTTGTTGTGTGTTTGTTCTGGCCACACTTCACAGCTTGCAGGTTCCTAGTTCCTCAACCAGGGTTTGAACCTGGGCCCCCTGAAGTGGAAACGTGGAGTCCTAACCACTGGATTGCCAGGGAATTCCCTCGGCAGTTTTGAAACGGTAAGTGGTCACGGCAAGCGGCATTTGGCCACTTAACTGAGAGAGAAGAAACAGTAAGGCCTGATCACTGAGTGGGTGACTACAGAGGGGGGATGGGGAGTAAGTTTTGAATTGAAAGAAAAATCTTTTAACTCCAGAGTTGGGGTGATTGAGCAGCACCCCTGATCTACAGACATTTCAGTTTAGGCTTTTTTGGCAATTGCTTGTGATGGTAGCAGGCAGAGGAGCTTGGGTGGAGACCATGGGCTCCATGTTCAGAAAGAGAAAAACAAATATCGCATATTGATGCATATATATGGAATCTAGAAAGATGGTACAGATGCACCCATTTGCAGAGCAGCATTGGAGACGCAGACAAAGAGAACAGACTTGTGGACATGGCAGGAGAAGGAGAGGGAGGGACGATTTGAAAGAGTATCAAGGAAACATAGACATTACCGTGTGTAAAACAGATAGCCAGTGGGAATGTGCTGTGTGATGCGGGGAGCTCAAACCCAGTGCTCTGTGACAACCTTGAGGGGTGGGATGGGGTGGGAGGTGGGGGGAGGCTCAAAAGGGAGGGGACATATGTATACCTGGGGCTGATTCATGATGCTGTATGGCAGAAGCCAACGCAATATTGTAAGGCAATTATCCTCCAATTAAAAAAAAAAAAGCAGTTGTCGAATGAGGAACTTCACTAAAATGTAGAGGTCCAGGGCCCCGTGATCTGCTTGGGGACCATCCTGGGTGGTCCCATCATGTCCTTTATTCCCATTTTTGATGGTTCCAAGGAGCCACAGAGTATGTAGCCTTCTCTCATGCTGACCCAACATCCTTCCATTAGTCTCTCGAGAGCCTGTGGAACATTGGAAAAATCCCTCATATGCTCAGCCTCCCCTTCAGTGTCTCCTTCCTTGTGAAAGTGAAGTCGCTCAGTTGTGTCCGGCTCTTTGAGACTCCATGGACTGTAGCCCACCAGCCTCCTCCGTCCATGGAATTTTCCAGGCAAGAATACTGGAGTGGGTTGCCATTCCCTTCTCCAGGGGATCTTCCTGACCCAGGGATCAAACCCAGGTCTCCCGCATTGCAGGCAGATTATTCACCATCTGAGCCACCAGGGAGGCCGTTTCCTTCCTGCATCTCATCAAAAGCCTGAGTTGGAATACACAAAATCTGTAATGTGCAGAATAAAATATAAATAATAATATGTTCATCAAAGTAGTCAAGATTAAAAGCTATAACTAGTATTTACAGAGTTCCTTAAAAAAAAGATGTTGGCGATCACGCGTGGCTTAAAGGAGTATTTGTGGATTATTTCACAGAAGCTTAAATAAATAAAAAGAGAAAGAAAACAGAATAAGAGAGAAAGAAAGCCTGGCTCTCCCATGAGGATGCTCTCTGCACAGCTGTGAAGTAGGGGCGGGTTTCTCCCCCGCACCCCGATTTCCAGATAGGTACAGGTCGCTGTTCCCCCAGGTTGTTCTAGATCATAACCCTCCCTCCCCCTCAAAACCCTTCCTCTGGCACCTCATCACCACTTGGGGTCTTCAGCTCTGCTAGCTCCCCCTCAGCACCCCCACATCTGAGCACTGTCACCCCAGACCTCAGGGCGCCATGAAACCACCCTGTCAGGTCCAGTCAGTGCCCACACTCAGCTCTCTCCCTGGGGCCCATTCTTTTGGCAAAAACCCAACCGTCATTAAAACCAACATTCCAGCAACATGGTGGAGTGAACCCCAGAATCAGTCACGGGGGGCACCCCAGGTCCTTAGATTCCCCCCTCTGCAGCTGCATCATGCCTCCTCTCTCAGCAGCTCCCTGCCCTCCGCCCCATCCTGTCTTACCCCCCAATTCAGAGAGAAAACAGACTGCCCCCGCCCCCCACTGCAATGGACAGACCGTCTGGGCTCCCGCCGGGGCCACCCTGGGCTTTGCTCCCCACCCAGGACACCATTCTGGTGGGACCCCTCCCTCCTCCACAGTGTCATACTCCTTACAGCATCACCCATGCTACTGATCTCTCATTTTGTAATAGTCCCTATCTTTGAGGAGACTTTCCCGTAGC